TGTGTCTCTCTGTCCTGTAGCGATTGATGAGTGTCCTCAACTGATTAACATTGTCCTCTATCAACTCGGCACCATTTTCTATCGGATTCAATACAGTCTGGAGGAAAGAGAGAGAGAGAGAGAGAGAAATAAAAGTAACATGTACATGTACATGTACATGTAAATGCACTTACTACTTCAGAGTCAACTACTGGAAACCACCTCAGTATACCAGGGAACTGATACTCTGTAGTGTACACTGTTCTCTCAATATGAAGTGTCTAAAAATAATATACAACAACTTCATTAAATACACTGCATGCATGTTGCAAGATAACTCTTAGTTACTCTAACCTTGTACTCATTAGACTTGTCTTTCTTTCCTTGATGGAAGGGCCTCTTCAACAGGAAGTGTTTGACATTATTAGTGCGGCAATATCTGGAGGAGAAAAGAGAGAGAGAGAGAGTGAGTGATGGTGCAAAATGATTATCTCTTCTCTCTTGCTGTACCTAGTGATCTCTTCTTTGACTTGTTTTCCCTCAAATTTCTTCATAATGTTAGGATCAGGCAATGGCTCAACAGCACATGATTGTATATCTGAAGAAGAAATGAAGTCATAGAATTTCAGAAATTTAAAATGGCCATAACTTGAAAAATATTTGTCGGAATCAGCTCAAACTTGCCACACAGCATAAGTACATCAATATGTATCAGAAAATGTAATAAAAATTTGGGGTGATTTCGGGGCCATTTTTTGGAAAAAAACCATGGGCTATAGCCTTGGGTAATTTTGAAAAATTGGCCCATTTTTAAAAACGGCCATAACTTGAAAAATATTTGTCGGAATCAGCTCAAACTTTCTATACAGCATAAGTACATCAATATGTATTAGAAAATGCAATAAAAATTTGGGGTGATTTTGGAGCCATTTTTTGGAAAAAACCGGCAGAAAGAACTTCTATAAGTCTTAATAAGTTACATGTACTTATATACATGTAGATGCAAAGTCATGCAATCTATTGAATACATGTACATGTATTTTCAGACTAAAACACTTGTTTCATTACATTGATCAGTAGACTCGATAATGTCTAGTCCAGGAGGCTCAAGTTTAGTCAAAAACTAAAAATTAAGACAGAGAAAGGGAGAAAGAGTTAAAGTGTTAAAGGAAAAGGATCCATTACTTTAGCAAAAGGGAACGTTGATTGAAGACGTGCATTGAAGTCAGTCAGTTTCTCAAGCTCCAATCCACGAAATATATAAATCTT